TTCGTTTAATTCCACTACCATTAGTATGTGTGTGACTGCCAACACTCAAAGACTGATCACCATAATTACTACCAAAAACTACCAAAAGATTGTGGAAATCTTCCATATTAGCTATTAATCTCCAACTACCATTTGGTTCACGCACGTTTTGCGATGTGTGTTTTACCTTTAAAACGAGGCATTTAGATCGTATGCTCGGAGCCTTTAACACTTTAACCGTTTGGCGCACAAACTGCGAATAAAAACCTTCTCAATCAAATAACTGGTTACTTACGTCTATATATGCACATTTTAGGTTTTTTTTTATGAGATGATAATGGAATGGTAACCCCGCCCGCGCTATCGGTATACACTGGCGGGGCACCAGTGAGGGATGATAGGTGACGATGAAAAGACAGGTCAGTTAGCCCATCGTGACTAATTCAACGGTAAATTAGTCACGATAGTTTCCAGGGGGAACCACGTGGAGGTCGACCCGATAGGATATATTGATAGCAATAGGCACTAACCTCCCCATTACTAACAATCCCTTCCCCCCCTTTTAGGTGTTGTAATGGGAGCGAGAGAGATAGACAGTAATATATACAACGCCGTTGAACTAGTTAGCATTATATTTAATATTGCTTCTAAGTTTTAAAGCTTATTGTCTTAAGTTCTAAAGTATACACAATTCTTCAGATTTAAGAGGCTTCCAAGAGAGAGCGCCGTATAGAATATTCTAATACGATCGTCCAACTTTACGGAATTAACTGGCGCGAACTCGTAAGTGGATTACAGAGATGCAGTAATCAAATGGAATGTCGTCACAATCTCGCGATGGTTGCAAACTCGAAAAATGCAAATTGCGCGGGAATCCCTTGAAACAACCCAATCCTGGTAATATCCTATCCCGGATTCATTACGTGTCACTATTACGGTCAATGGCTATTGGAACATTGCTGGTTTTTTATGGAGTGATAATGGAATTGTAATCCCTTAATTTCATTTTCATCCATTAAATTAATGATTTTTGTACTGGTGATTAATGTAAATACTAAAATAAAAAAAATTACGTATATATTATGGATGAAGTTGACATTGTTCATTGTAACATATATTTATTATTATTATTCAGTATTTTGTAATATTCAATTTAATTTAATAATTTTTTTTAGGATTATACATAATTTCAGACATATTTTATGAATTATTTATATTGTATGTTTAATTAATTAATGAAATATATTATTTATGCATCATTTATGTATGTATCTATATAATACAATTTTATCTTTGGCTGTTAAATTGGTTACACAGGTTACACTGGGTTTGTTGTACGCGTCCGTGTAGCCTAACTTCAGGCTGTAGCTGAAAATCAGTGCTTTGCTCTTTGCAAAATTATCACTTAGCTGTAGCCTATTTGGGTCACTGCGACACACATGGTGAAAACATATTTCCATATTTTATCTTTTGTTTTATATTTAAAAAAGTTTAAATAATCTGATTGTATAAACTCATATGTTAATTTACGTGTGTCATAAATAAAGTGTTTATCTATCTATCTATCTAATATACATTGTTTTTTTTTAAATAATGACTAAGGACTAAAAAAACCCGCCTGAGCTATTAGTATACGCTGGTCCATCGTGATGAATTAATTAGAAATTAATCACGATCATTTTATTTCTTTAACTCCTTATTTCATCAAAAACATAATAATATATAATGACAATTAGAAAATTCATCTTAAACACAGTAGCATAAAGTACATATTAAAATATATACCAGGATAGTTTCCAGGGGGAACCACGCAGAGGTCGACTGGATAGGAAATATTGCTAACAAGCAAAAAGAGGTTCTTAGATTTCATTACTAACTATCCATTTCTCCCCTCAACTTTGTTGTTGGATCAGCTATGTAATCATCAAGTGCTAATTGGGAACTTTGTACTTTAACCTTTTTTTTTATACAACTTAGAATGGCAAACAAGCTGACGGCCCACCTGATGGAAAGTGGTAACCGTCACCTATAGACATGAACAGTACCATGGACATAACAGAGCATACCGTTTCGCCCATGATACACCTCATGCACTGCCATTCCTGAGGACACAGTTGTTATTCCTCTGTACCCTGTAAATTCACGCCATATCCCACCCTTCAAACCGAAACACAGCCATGCAGACACAACTGCTTTACGGTTGAAACACGAATGCGACAGAGGTACCCAAGCAATAGATTTTTATACAAAGTCTCCCTCTAGTAAATTGACATTTCAACTAAATTAAAAAAAAAAAAGAAATCCGGCATTTAAACAGCGCAGCAATAGTTAATTTATCAAAAATTCATTACTGAGTATATATTCCACGCAAAGCAAGCATTGTGGAAGCAATTAGGGGAGGCCTATGTCGACAGACAACCTGATCAACACAATGGTTGCTAGTAAGCTAGCTTAGTAATAAGTAGTATGTAAGTTAAAGTAAAATTGTGGTCAGAAAATAAAGGCTTTATTATTATTATTATATATATTCCACGTAGACCAATATTACTACTTTTTTAATAACAATAATTTTTTTTATTATCAGGTACTTAACCCATAGAGGTACAATTGTATTACAACGTGGTCGGGTAATATATAAAAATATAACAATAATAACACACAAAAAAACATTTATTATTTTGTTGTATCACTTTTAAATTTTATCATAAATCATAGTTTCCTATCAATTTTAGTATATTTTATTATCTATTATACATAATAGTAACTTGTACAAATGTATTGTGAGCATGCCTTTATCTATGTATCTACGTAAAATAAGTTACGATTCAAGTTTTCAATTGCTTTATTCACACATCCGCCATTCAGAGATATCTTAAATTTATTTCTCTTAGTAAAACTTAAAAGAAATAGTTTCGTTTAACGCATAAATAACAATGATTAATTGCAACTCAGCTGATTATTTAATGACTTATAATAATTGTAGTAAAATATATAAGTTACTCAAAATAATTACGTGGCGCAGACATCTGTTTCCGTGAGTTCTTCTTGTCTTAATAAAAACAACGTTGTACTCAGATGCGTGGCATTTTAATTGACTGCGAACTAGCAATAAAATAATTGAATTATTTATAAGTAAATATTACTATTTATAAAGAGTTTCCTTCATCAAATCAGCCGTTAAATGACAAAATATAATCATGCGAAATATAGGCCTTCCCCAGAAGGCGGGTTTTGCCAGTAGTTGCCACGTTTGGCAGGCGGGTTGGCAACCGCAGTTAGGTTTTGGTAATATTTTAAGAGGGACGCTGTTGCCCATTCCTCGACCGTTCTATTCTTTGTTGCCTCTTACGACACCCATAGGAAAGGAAGGGAAGGCCCATTCTATGCCAGGACCACACGGAAATAAGTTTTAGTTGATTTTAATAAATAACTGAATGATTGTCTCGCTCCGTGTTTCAAAAGGGCACGTAAAGCCCTTGTTCAATAAGCTAAGCCAGAGGCTTTCATATGTTAAGGCTGTCTTGAAATTCTTGACACTAGATGGCGAGACCTACCCTCACATGATTAGTACATTTTGGTAATACCTAAGTGTATCTACCTGGGGGGAAAGGGATTGTTAACAATGGAGTTTGACAGCCCCATTGCTAGCAATATGCCCCTATTACATCGACTTCCACGCGGTTCCCCCTGGAAACCATCGTGAACAATTCTTGTTGAATTCGTCCCGATGGGCTAACTGACCTGCTTCATCGTCGCCTATCATCCTTCACTGGTGCCCCGCCGGTGTATACCGATAGCGCGGGTGGGGTTACCACTCCATTGTCACTTATAAAAAAAAAAGTGTATCTACCTAGGTAGGTAAGTAGGTATCCTCCTTTTGCAATCTTAATAGGCATCAAGGTTAGATTATAAATGAGCTATTTGTAGTTTACCAACGTTTCATACGCCAACATTTCATGGAAATTATCTACAATGGCTACCTTTCTGTGCACCTTTAAAAAATAACGATATACAAATATAGTGAGAATCTATATAGGTTCCTAAGTGTATTTGTATCTATCCATCTAGTACGACAAATAGGTACAGTAAACAACCGTAAATATAACCGATTGTAACAAAATGTTATTTTATCTAAAAACGAAAAACTAACTACCTATTACTATTGTGATACGTAATCCGAGTAAATATACGTGTAATACGACCTACAATCCAGGGTGGTAGGTAGGGGGAGTCTGGGGGTTTAGGGGTGGTGGAGAGGGGCACCTGTGTAGCGTTACAGCCGCCTGGGTGTGGTTTGCCGTTCAATAACTTAATACTCTGGAAAGGCTTTCACGCTGAAATCTCGCTGAAGTATAGTGCGATTGAAACGTTTTGATCATTGCCTAATATTTTACGAATTTTACTTTTTTTCGCTAGACTGATTGTTAACATGTGTTATATTTAGAAATAATAGATATAATAATATATTATTTTCAGTATGAAAGAAAAAATATTTCATTAATAATAAGTTTTGAAATAGATCAATATGATGTGCAATTAGGGATATACCTGTATCACCAAAGTAAACGAAATACAGACATAGATGTCATGAGGCCATATGAAAAAAATGATGTATAAAGAGTATCTCACAAAATGAAACACTTGAAATTGATAAGCCGTAAGATTTTTTTTCTCTTAAATAAAGATTTCCTTTTTGCTATTTCTTACCAATTAGCATCAACATCTAATATAATATATTCTTTAACGACGTCTATATTTGGATTTAATGAGATACAGTAGGCATGTTACGTATCTGAATTAATCACTAGTCGGTCAGCAGTGACACGTGGAATAATCAGAAGCGTGAAACCTACCCGGCTGAATACATGCATGGAGGCTATTAATTGCAGGTTTGCAGGTAATCGATCGAGGTAGAGACACGAGGTGCGTCGAGGGATCACGGCGTGGTATCGGCCGGGCGGGTGCTCGGCAGTGCGGCGGTGTGCGTGACGGATCATGGCGGCGCGGGGGGGCCGCGCCCCGCCGCCCTCGTTAAACGCGCCCGCCGGATACGCGCCACGGCGCGGTTGAAAGCTATCCGGCCCCCGGGCGGGCGGCGAGCGCGATTGGCCGGCGCGCACCGCGCACAGTAACCGATAGCCAATCGTGTGCGCGGCCCGAGCACGCCCCTGGCGCCGCCGAGCCGCCGGCTCACACCGCGCGCGACTTCGCCGCGCACACTCGCACCGATGCGCGGCTCCTGGGACGAGTCCACGACGGCGGCGCTGCACGCGCGCATCCTGGAGGCGCACCGCGGCCCCGCCGCGGCCGACCGCGCCGCCGAGCCGGCCGCCTGCGCCGAGCCCGCGCCCTCGCTCGCCCTCAACGCCATCGAGCTGGCCGCGCCGACGCCGCTGCTGCCCCTGCCCACGCTCTCCTTCAGCGCCGCGCAGGTCGCCACCGTGTGCGAGACCCTCGAGGAAAGTGGAGATGTCGAGCGGCTCGCTAGGTTTCTCTGGTCCCTCCCGGTCGCCCACCCCAATGTCGCCGAGCTGGAACGCTGCGAAGCTGTGTTGCGCGCTAGGGCCGTGGTTGCGTTTCACGCGGGGAGACACCGGGAGTTGTATTCTATACTCGAGCGACATCGTTTCCAGCGCTCGAGCCACGCTAAGTTGCAAGCTCTATGGCTAGAGGCACATTATCAAGAGGCCGAAAGACTCCGAGGGCGCCCCCTGGGACCCGTAGATAAATATCGAGTTCGCAAGAAGTTCCCGTTGCCGCGAACGATATGGGACGGCGAACAGAAGACGCACTGTTTTAAAGAGAGGACGAGATCGCTTTTAAGAGAATGGTACCTGCAGGATCCGTACCCGAACCCGACGAAGAAGAGGGAACTAGCGGCGGCGACGGGTTTAACACCGACGCAAGTGGGGAACTGGTTCAAGAACCGCCGGCAGCGGGACCGAGCGGCGGCCGCCAAGAACCGCTCCGCGTTACTCGGCCGAGGGTTCGCCTCGTCGTCCACGTACGACGAGGACTCGGCTGACTCCGAGATCAACGTGGACGAGGAGTAGCCCGTCCACCAGCCCCAGAGACTGATAGTGTAAATAATATCACGGTGATACAATTTTTATACGGCGTGCTGTTGGCGGTTTTTACGCGGTTCGCACGTTACAGAGACGATTCCAGTGGCGTACGAACGATGCAATATAGACGAGAAGTTATCTTATTATTCTAGTTAGAGTCACAAAATCCGTGACGTATGTGATGTTAAGGCATTGTAAACAAGTTTGTTAAGGGCATAATTATATTGTTAAAAGTGTAAAGCGAGTGCTCGAAGTAAAATCAGCATTTCTCCGTATCAGGTATGTACACTCTATTTTGTAGTGGGAAAGTAATTAGGTTCTTGCCTTTAAAAAAAGTTGTAGGCCTTCTTGATCAGTGTAACATTTTTAATGCAATGATAGGAAACTTTATATTTGGAAGGTAAAACAGGGTTATTGTTTTGTTTTTAATGTGTAATTTTTATCGCGCGGTAGGTTATAAATTCTTAAGTGCGTATTCTATTTAATTTCGTCTCGTCTAAGTGACTCGCCTAGATTCGTTCTATGGTTTTAGAAGACAAGCATTTACATACCTAAATATTTATACAGCCTTTACTATTTTACCATTATACATAGTCTTATCTGTCATATCAGAGTTTAGTTGTACGTTAGTTATTGGTAATTATGTAGATAATTATGTTGGTGAGTAGAATTCGTATTAACTATTCGAAGGCTTGTACCTGAACAAGAGACACTTTCCTCGTGTGCGAACGATATTTAACTGCCTGTGTATATGAATTATTTATTTTCATAATAGCAGATGTTTGCGACAAACTCGAAATGCTGTGGACATGTCGCCTCGTTATCGTCCGAATGCCTCTTAATTGCTTATATTAGATTCTATTCGTAAATATTAACATTACATTAGTCGAAATTTTAATTCCATAATATTCTGATGGAATATAAATAGCAATACAATTGTATAGAATTAGATTAGACAGTTCATTGGATGCAAAGTTGACATAGTATTTTTAATTGAACATATTTTATGTTATTATTTTTAATTACTTAAACAATATATGTCTACAGCATATTGATATATTTGACAGTATTTTAATTCGACTATTTTATACACTTACGAGGTATAAGTAGGTCTATCTACTCTGTTTTACCTTACTTGGCAAATTTTTTAAACAATTTTGACGTGTTTATTTTTTTTTTATTACAATTACTTTTTTATCAGAATTAAAAGAGTTTCTGTGTTAATTGATTTTATATTATTCTATTTATATTATTTTTGAATGAATATAATACGGAAATATACCAAATTTGTTTATTAAATATATAGCCTGTAAGTGAAAACAAATTAGGTATACGAGTAGTAATTTTTAATGTACAGGATGAAATTAATGTCAATGGCATCGTATTACGAGAGTGTTTTATCAAAGAAATAGGGTGTTTTAGAAAAGAGAAGAAGAAATAAGAGGGAGACTGTATAAAAGTCGTTCTCGTGGATACCTCTGTCGTGTTTTTGCCGTGAAACAATTATGTTTGCATGGTTATATTTTGGTTTGAATGGTGAGATATGGCTTTATTAGCATTACACGATAGTTCTCAAGAACGGTAACGTGTGAGGGGCATCATGGGGATCTTAGAGTATTCTGTAATACCCATAATGTTGTTTATGTATGACAAGTACCGCTTTAAACCAGGTGGACCGTTAGATTGTTTGCCATTCTAAGTTTCTTAAAAATTAAAAAAAAACTTGATTTTTTTTTCAAAAATAAAATCGATTGTAAAACTACAAATTTACACTCCACTACTACAATTAGATAAAGGCTCAAGTTCTTTTTTATTATTATTATTCGACTCATTTTTCTTCGGAGTAAAATATTCAATTTCATTGATAAAACACTTTCATAAAACGATGTTATTTCAATTTCACCTGTATATCCCACGAACGAGGAATTACTTTTTTTTTTATTAAAAAAAAATATTATTTATATATCCAAATATTTTTGTAGATTACACAAAAAAAAATATCTTGTGCATTATAGATACCTAATTACGTGCATGGACGCGTTAGGATACGTAGGTTAGGATTAGCGACTCATGAGAGAATTGTAAAAATGTATAATATAATATAAACAAATGCAAATTGTATATAGATATCGACTTACATTACAGTCATTAAATTAAAATTGTTAATAAAATTATATTCGTAAACAAATAACTTGTATTATTTCACTAATTGGCAATTAATTAATCCCTCTGTGACACTAGATTGTATATATTTTACCAGAGGGAGACTTTGTACAAAAGTCGTTTGCTTGGACACCTCTAGTCCCATTCGTGTTTCTACCGTGAAGCAGTTGTGTTTGCATCGCTGTGTTTCGATTTAAAGGGTGATATATGACAGTGTATTTACAGGGTACAGAAAAATAACATCTGAGTCCTCAGGAATAGTAACGCATTGGGGGTATAATGGGCGAAACAGTATACTCTGTTATGTACATGGTATTGGTCATGTCTATAGGCGATGGTTACCACTTTTCATCAGGTGGGCCGTCAGTTTGTTTGCCATTATAAGTTGCATAAAAAGAAATATGTTTTATTTACCTTCATACACCTAATAAAATATGAGTTTATTAGTTAGTTGAAAAACAGTATTTTTGGCTACCTACAACAATTAAACATAATAGGCATCTATTTTTATTTAAAGTTAATATCATAAAAAAAACAGGAGGATACAATAAAGATTGATGAACGTAGAAGAAGCGAAAGAGGTTTGTTTGAATCGAAGCATTTGGCGTTCCATTGTTTCTGCCTACCCTACTGGGAGACAGGCGTGACAGATATGTATGTATGTATGTATAATTATCATAAGGGCTTTACTATAATTACTTACCTAGCTTTTGTTAGATAATTATTTTATATTTTGTAATTTTATTATATATATATATATATATATATATATATATATATTCTTTATTGCACTAAAACATACAGTAACAACAATAAGTTAATAACAATGTTAGCAAAGGCGAACTTATCTCTAAAAGAGATTTATTATCCTAATTAATAAAATAAAAAGAGGGGAAAATTAAAGTACTTAAAAAATATGAATACTACTTAAGTACATGTAGGTATATTTCTTTATTTTTCCCCTATAAGGAGATTATTATTGGTGTTAATCAATAACAAATTTAAGTACATTTATCACATACAAATGGAATATAAATATTTTTTTAAAGAATATCGTTATTATATATATATATATTATAAATTTTATCCATGGAACGATCACAGATAGTGTTTCTAATTATATTGTTGGTAGGTGTGTGTTGTAATAAAGTAATAAGCATAGGAATTTATATCTATTTATAAATATAAAAAGTGACTATACATTTGGACTAAAAGTAATAAAATATTTAATTAATTAAAAGTTTCCATCCGTCCATCTCATCAACCGCTAACTGTCCATTGCTAAACATAAACCTCCCTCATAAGTGAGGTTTTGCAAGTAGTTGCCACGATTGGTAGGCGGGTTAGGATTTAAAGATATTTCAAGAGGGACGCTGCTGTCCATTCTTCGATCATTCAGTTCTGTTAGTCGTCGATTACGTCACTTAAGGCCCATTCTATGCCGGGATCACACGGAAATTATATTTTTATATTAATAACGGCAATTTAAAACTTTATTTATTAATAAAATGCGGTACAAAAGGCAATTTTAATGCTATAGGATGACAATTAAAGATTGATAATTCAATTTGATTTCATATTAAATTAAATAAATTTAATATAATTGATTTACAATGGATCTTTATCTATCTACTACCTAATAGTTAAAATGTCCTATCTACCTATCTGTTTTATTTGAAAATAATCCTTATTTTCAAATAAAACAAATAGGTAGATAGGACATTTTAACTATTAGGTCACTATGATTTGTCACTTCTTTCAAATTTAATTATAAATTTATCCAGAATTTACCTATGTGTATTTTTATCGAAAATGATCGCATTTTATTTAGATACTAGCTGACCCCGTAAACGTTGTTTTACCACTTATTACGAAATATAAAAATCGCAATTAAAATACAGAGGTTGATCGTAAAACGATGAAAATTTGATGTTGTATGTATTTTTCAATGCTAAATCATAATAAAATAAAAATGGAAAAATTTGTCAAAAAAATAAAAAAAATATATTTTGGGGAGGGTCACCCTTATCATTGACGGGTATGAAAAATAGATGTTGGCCGATTCTCAGACCTACCCAATATGCACACAAAATTTCATAAAAATCGGTAAAGCCGTTTCGGAGAAGTTTGGAACAAACACCGTGACACGAGAATTTTATATATAAGATATAGACGATGATTTGTAATATATATTCTATTTTGTTTATTTTCGTTATATTTGTTTATTTATTTAAACTTTATAAAACAATAAAATGTGGTATAAATGGCGGTATTTATTTTAATATCATTCTCTGCTAGTCAATCAATTTGGGAAGTGTGGGGTTTCTTGATAATTATCAGTTTCCTTCAGGTAGACCGTCAGTTTATTTGCCATTCGCAGTTGCATAAGAAAAAGCCCTCCGGGTCCCATAATGAGTTGATTTAAATGTACGTCTGATCGCGTACTTCTACACGTAGAGTTCACGGTCGTGAATTGAATTAGACGTGTATTTGTAATAATGGACATAAGTCAAAAGAGTTTTTAACATTTATAGTTTACGTTTTCGAAATTTTTAATAATAGAAATGAGACAATTATCAGGAATGGCAACGCATGGGGGGTATCATGGGCGAAACATTATACTCTGTTATGTCCATGGTACTGGTCATGTCTGTAGGTGACGGTTACCACTTTCCATCAGGTGGGCCGTCAGCTTGTTTGGCATTCTAAGTTGTATAAAAAAAAAATCTATAAAATATGTGAAATAATTAAAAAAAAAAGACTTTAATTATAGCAAAACAACTAGTTTTAATTTAAAAACGAGATTTCACAACTGATTTTATTAACATTTCTATGGAACTAAACTGTAAATATATATTTTTAGATAAAAAAAAAATTTACAAATCAGTTTACAACTGACAGAGTTATGAGGTAACAAACATTAAATAAAAGATGCAAACGAATTGATAAGTTCATTCTTTTTGAAATCGGTTAAAATTTAAAATACATTTATTGACGTTCCTATAATAAGCATCTTAATGTCTTTACCTCTTCTTTTCATTTAAGAGTTTCCTCTTGTCGGTGCAACTAATTCATGCATCTTCATCCAGCCAGCTCTATCCCCCGCCATATCCTTGACCTCCCTATACGACATGACGCCTAGTGTTTCTTTTATCTGTCCCATGTAGTTATTCCTCGGTCTTCCTCTTCCTCTTTTGCCTTCTATTTTTCTTTCTATTATGCTCTTAAAAAATCGTCATGTCGTATAAGGTGGCCCAGCATCTTTGCCACCACCAGTGACTATATACATATTTTTTTCAATTTAAGAATTAATTTATATCCAAAATTTTAAGCACTTTCCTTTCAAGTCTATTTCATACTAGATGTTCGCCCGCTACCACGTATTCGTGGATTCCAGAAGTAGGAAAACTAACAAAACAGTTTACTATTTGATAGTTTATTAAGATAAAACATACATTAGATTTTAAGTCAAACTTTTAGGAATACAATAGTGAAATTCGCATCTGAGGGCCTACCATGAAATGTTTTCTGAATTTTCGGAGCCAAACGAAACACAAATTTGATGTTAAAATAACATAATACATGCCGTTTGGAAATAATAAAAATGTTAAAATATTGTTACTTTTATGATAGGATGTATGACGAACGAAATGTTAAACTCCATTTATTGGTCCGATTTTGGTATAAACAAAAACACGAAATTTCGGAATTTCATTTCATGGTAGACCCGCTGTTTTGATGCAATAGTTTTTGCGTGATATTGGAATAAACATTTTTTTCTAATATATAATAGACAGAAACAAAATCTAAATATTATTGTTCCCTCATCTATTGGTTTTATAAATATGCTAAAGATACCTATTGTTTTTTTTTTTTAATTAATAATATAATAAGTAATACATACATCGTATAGTTACCATTTTAATATATTAATCAAATTTAGTTCATTAAAGTTTTTAGATTAATGACTTCTCTGTAATAGATATTAAAGTGATATTTTAGTTCTAAAGATAACACTAAACCAGACTTCAGAATAAACTATGTACATCATTTGTGATATTAGCTTTTACCCGCGATTTCGCATGTAGTATAACTATGATAAAAATAGCTTATGTCCTTCTCAATCATTTAGGTATATATAGTAGGTACATGTACAGCAAATTTCAGTATACCGTTAAGGTGCTAAACAAACAAACAAACAAATAATATATATACTTTCTGGGTACACATATTCAAATTGAAATAAACTTTTTTCAAATACACTTGTTTACAAGCACTTTTAAATCACCATTTTTTTTAAATCCACTGCAGGATTCGGAAAGTTATCTGTTGAGAAGAGCCCACAAGAAACTCAACAGTTACTCTTTTAAATCTCTGTTAACATTATGGGTATTTATTTAATTGTACTATATCTAAAATTACATGGTAGTTAAAAGCCCGTGCATAATCGACTAATACTAAATAATCGTTTAGTGTGTCACAATAGGCTTTGTTCAACAAGTGTTTTTAATAGCAGTTTTAAACTTATTAAAAGGTAGATCCAAAATATCCTTCGCTACCTAATTATAACATTTAATGCGTGTGGGCGAAAGGACTGTATGCTGGTATGGAAACACGATGTTTTAGAAAGATAATATAATTATATAAAAAATATACATAGCAAACCAACGGAGTAAAAAAGCGAAGGCAAAAACAAAACCTAAACTGACACAGACTTCAAATTATAAACAAAATATCTTTTTAATAAAATTAAAAAAGAAACTAAAAAGGTGCGTCGTGCACAATGCGCATTCCCATAAAAGACTTATTAACTTTTTCTAAACGGTACTTCAGGATAGCAAATTTGTATCTAGTGATTATAAATATATATTAAATGATATTATCTTTACGATAATCTAACTTAGGATCCAATTCATCCCTTAACAGAATGTTATCATCCCATAATAAAGCCGTAAACGATGACCATGATCTCGATCGACATCTTTGGTAA